AGAATCGAACAATTCTTGCCGACTAAATTGCTTTTCAAAATGCTCAGCCCAACGCTCCAAACGTTTTGACAAATTGTGGATAGACTGTCCACTCGCTTCACGTCTAGTTTCACCAACACCAGGTCTCCTGCTGCCCGTTTCCCGTATCAGACGGAATAACTTACGACGGTTGCTGAGGGCAGCGGCCACTTCCATCTGTGACGCACGATGAGACCACCAAGATTCGCGGTCCATCTTCAGGCTAGTACGGAGTCTTGCCCGGAGCTCTTCGCGAGTTACAACGTGTTCTCTTCCAGCCGGGATACGCTGGCGAGCGCCGATAAGTCCCAGAGACCGCGCAGAGACCCAATATCCATGTTGGCTATTAGACATACCCATGAAGATTTTCCTGCTGCTAGTTAGGTCTGGCGAACATGTGACCATTGACCATCAATTGTCTTAAGTGATGCCAATGCCTAAGAGCATTAGCTGCTTCTTGGACAGTTTGCGCTTGGGCACAGACGGTGTTTGGAGGAGGGATACCACGCTGTAGTTTGCGAATTTGGTCAACATGCCTGCAAAATAGCTTAGGAATACAAAGGAGCATTGCCAAATCTAGTGGGTGATTCAATTGATTTTCGCGCGCAAGTGTGACACAGAGGTTTCGCGCAGTTATCTAAGCGTACTCTGCGGATAGCGTCCTCCGGTCGGTTATTTTTGGCTGTGTTGACAAGATCACTTTGTGTTAACTTTCTGCGTTCATTGGAAGTATTTCGTGGAAATTGAGCTACAGTTCAGTTTCATTTCCGATTCTGAACTTTCCGACCATATTCAGTACCAATCGCCGGCGTTTGGATCGAATGGAAATATTAAGATGCAAACTCTTTATTTACCTTGATCTGAATACCATAAGCACAATATGCACATTGGTAAAATCCCTCGATGAGCTGTTCCAATAGGGGGCTCGGGAACGTCGAAGCACCAACGTTTTCAAGATCAGGCTTTTGTCTCAACATCCACCAGAACGTTACTACATGAACCGCATACCCCAAATTCTACCTACGCATGTCATCCGTGCAAGAGCACGGATGGTTCCGTACAAATTGCTATGTGCCGCTACAGACAGATTTTCTCTCATCAGAATAAATACACGTATGATTATTAGTTGATGCATTCATAAGTGAACCACGCAGGCCCATTCTTCTCCGTGTCCTGCTTATCAGAAAGGACATTAGTTTTATTGAGCTATGAGTCTTCGTCTCTGATGTGTTTTTTTATTAAAGTTTTGAAATGATCGATGAACTTGTTCCATGCGACCTCAGGGGATTGTTGCGCTAGAAACAACCAATCGGTGAGATTGATGTGGTCGGGTAAAATGTTGTGATTTGTTGTTATGCGGACCTCTTCGATCACCAGCGAGAACAGCTGGAAGCGCCGTCGTATTCGCAGACAGACAACTATTCCATAGTTGGCGTGAAACGGATTTGTCTTATATTGAAGACTCGACAAGTAAATGTACATGTCGAAGAAGCGGAGACGACGCAATAAAATAAGAGTTAAAGGCATGTTTCGTCAGAATCAGAAGTGCTTTATGTTTATCATAGGGTGAACAATGAACAACGATTTATCACAGGTATAAAAGCAAGCGCTTGACAAGTCCCGTGGGATTCTTGGAGTGAAAACGAAAAGATTACACAATAAGTTAATCGTCATTTTAAGCGTCTACCTATCTAACTGCACTATTGCCTACTTATAGTTTGCAATGAGAATTGAGTGTACGCACAGAGAGCACTATGGGTATTGGTTATAGTTCAGGTGGTCCGAGATAAAATAGTGATGGAAATGAAAACGCTAAGTTGTGTGTAGTTTCTTTGGGCCGACGGAATACACAAATCCATTTTCCACATTAGTAGTGTTTAACACGTGATGTGCAAGAAGTGAACGTGAGCATTTTGATTTGTAGTGTTTGTTTGACTCCTGACAAAGAGGGTTATTTGGCGTAATGTATGAGTGCATTGTCGAGACGTTTACTGAATACCGTTAGTTTGGGGGAAGAAACAACCTACGTGGGAACAGCGTTTCATGGTTGGCACAAGCAAAACTGAAAAGAAATTCCGGCGAAAATTCAAACGGCTATACTGTGTGGTCAATTTTAGATGGTGACCTCTCGGAGCGGTACTGTTATTCAAATTCAGAAAATGTCTGCAAGCATGGGTTGCCTTCTTTAGGATCAATTATGTTATTATCTAATCGCCACGCAGGTGTCGATCCTGTCCACTGTAGATCCAAAGAGTTTTCAACCTCAGTTGGTCAAGGAGAGAAAACAGACCCTTGAGGTTCTTGGTCGCCGTCCGTTATGAAGTTCAAATGCGGTAGGCATTGCTTGTACTAGGGATATCAGGCGTGAATAGCGAATCCCGTATGGCGCGTAATGTAGGCAATGGATATTTCAGAGAAGATTGAAATGTCAAAGCGAGCGAATGCTCTCCGGAAAAGGCCAAGGTATTGGTTAGCTTTTTTAGACGCCTACTCGGCCTGACATGAACAGCCAAGATTATCTTGTACTACCACACCTAGGTCAAATTCAGTAGAAGCACACTGCAAAGCTTACTCTCACAACCAGTACTTGCAAGTGGATTGACACCGCATGCTCAGTGTCTCACACTTAGTGGCGTTGAAATGAAGCACCTCCTGTGTCACTCATTCGTATGCCCTTGCAAGCTCATCCAAAAACACTACATGGCTCCTGGTTGTTTTGATTGCTCAACATCTCTTTATATAATCAGCAAAGAGTAAGAAGCTGGAACTGAGCACTCGCGCGAAATGGTTTATGTAAATCAGGAATAGACGTGGAACAAGTACTGAGCCCTGTGGAACTCCGCACTGAACTCTCATAGGGTCAGCGATAATGCTGCGAACCCACACATTCAAATTTTGTTAAATCAGAAAGTTATATATCCAACCGAGAACTGTTACCATTTCCACAGCTATAAAGATAGTGACTAAGGTTACGAGGATTCAGACGGTCGAACTCCTTTGAGAAGTTCAGATAAACCGGGACAAATCCTGCACCATTGGCGACGATTTCAGTCCAACTGGAACGCGCTAGTAACACGTTTGTGGTGCAAGACCGATGGTTTCGAAATTCATGTTATTGGGATGCTATAATTTTGCTTGCTTCTAAGTAATTCATAAGTAGCTCAGTCATAATAGACTCCGTGGCTTTGGATAGTACCGAAAAGAGTGCTATCGGTCCATAGTTTGTCGCATCTGAGTGACTACACCCTTGTGAATGGGAATGACGATTCCGTGCTTCTACTGGCATGTGATAGAGAATGTCAATGGCCTGCGAAGCACTGTTGGATGGTAAATGAGCAGTCGCATCTGAAAAGAATGGGGGATTACGATGTGATCTTTAGAACTCAGAAAGTTGTTTCAACTTGACCAAACCACACCAGTGGGTTGGAAACCTCGTACAGGGGTAATGCGACACCAAGAGAATTGACCGACGCAGTAACAATAAGTGTGGGTCAGAGGTTGTAAAAGAAGAATGAACACTTACACACAAAAAGAAATAATAACGCGGGTCACCGATCATGTATGGAACGGTTAAATAAGTATATCAAATCCGTCGATGATTAGGTTCACCAGAGTATTCACAACTACCGTCTAGGACCAAAAATATTACGGCGGGTTTCTCATGTGTGCGATCTCGACATGCTTGTTTAAGATGACCTCGGTTGTTTGAGGCAGACTGGAAAGGCCTTAAAGAAAACAAGCCAACACGTCGGCCTTCTTCTTAGAGCGTTCCGGAAGGTTGACGTCTCAGTCTTTCCGAAAACGCTTGGTGCGTACGTGAGGCCGCACCCAGAATAGGCTATTCGAGCGTGGCAAACTGGCTGAAGCACCATCACACCGCATTCGATACTGCAAAACGTCGAGTAACAAAGCACGTCAAAGGTTTGTCCCGTCTTTCCTACCCATTCAGGCTAAAAAGCCTCAAACAACACAACGGACGTTATCGGCGTGTAAAGTGCGATCCCATAATGGTGTACCAGATCCTGCGAGACTCAACCATACGTGCCATTCCGTTTCGAAACAGTCAACACATCTGTAAGGGGTCATCAGTTTAAGCTGGTCATGCAATACAACCGACTGCAAGCTCGACGAAACTTCTCCCTCCGAGTTTCCCAGCTTTGTAACGCCCTCCCGGAACATGTAATTAATGCTCCTGCTTTATCACTTTTCAAAATACGTCTTGACAATACTCTGACACATTTACACCATGTGATATAGCCCATGACCATCAGATGCTGACATTAATGCACAACAAACAGTGGACGGTGTCATAACCCTACTCGCACATAAGTTACTCCAAACCCCTTGATGAGTCCTGCATTTCATGCATATGTTTATTGGCACTGTTTTTATTATGGAATCATTACCCTAACAACCCTACGGAACAGGCGAAGCATTCACTTTTATAGCCGTCATAAAGCATTGCTGCGTTGTTCCATATAACTCCTGCTTGGATTCGGTGCTGAAAGACAATGGAGCGCAGAGTGTACCTTCAAGAGATCCGCGCGTATAGTACAGACATCGGATCAGACAGACAGCTCAGTTCACAATTCACAGCTACACCGCCAGCAAGCAAGATAGAACTCAGCAAACACGAGCTTGGATAACTTGTGTTTATCGGCGGTGAATTAAAAGTTGGTACATGTATTGCAGTGAAATATGGATTGGTGAACATAAAAATAAGCAAATTGTTTACCATCGCCAAGCGTTGTAGTTGGATACTTACGGAGTAAAAAAATACCTACCCTCTCGACAAATAATCACCCACCTTTTTGAGATCTTCTCGATAGACACGAGTTATGCGTAATTCATGGAATGAGTACTAAACGCAATTCGGCAAACTTTTATGCTTGGTTTGGTTGCCTCCTTGTTTATGTTAAATACGTGTCTGTGAAAACTATCTTCCATACACTTTCACATCCTAGGTGCCATCACGTTCGCAAATGGGGTCAGTTCCAGATTCAGCCTCCGAAACTATTGCTGCGACCTTTGTTCTTCCATTGGATTCCCACATCAAAGACATCGGTGCAGTTCTGATTCAAGTTGAGGTACGTTCTATCCGTACGGAAACACGTGCCAGCTCCAAGAATATATGTGACTCAACTTCAAGCAACACTTCCGCACACACTAATGTTTTTTTTCTGTGAATCAAAATCCATCCGGTTTTTAATGAATTGAGAGTGCCCATCGGATTCCTTGTGCTACTTCGTATTTTGATAGATCTAGTAAACAATAATAATAATAATAATAATAATAATAATAAGGCATATTCTCGGTTTTACGAGACATGCCATCTTCGGCATGATCATACTGTTGCAGTTGTTTCGTATAGTTTAACAGCATATTCCATACGTCAGGCAGAAATAAAAGAGGCTTTTTATTCGCCAGTGTTTTGCAGTTCAAAGCCTTGTTTGGGCACAGAATATATCATGGCCTCCTGACAGAGATCTCTTTGTACGGACGGAAGCGAGCTTTCATTTCCTTAAGCAAAGAATGAGAGGCAATTTTGATAAGAGGTAACGATTAAAGCTGAAATCATACCACTTAACAAAGCATCTGATTTAGGTTAACTCATTTATTATACACTGTGGTGTTCTAAAAAGATTGGTGAAAGACGAGGGTATTTATTGACTTTCATTTCAGCAGCTGCACATATGGGCCGAGACAGATACAATTGGGGGGTTTATCGGTTGTGTGTGAGATGAACATGATTGGCACTTGTCAAATGGCGCTGGTATTTTGATATAGCTGTATGCTAGGCCTGAGCGAGTAAGAGGAAAAATGAGAGAGAAGATATTGGAAGCAGAGTCGGTTAGCTTCACCGTGATGCCCGACATGTTTACATGAGAGCAACGTGGGAAGCATAGACGATTAAGAGAAGAATGAATGGTAAAAGCGAATGAAGATGGATAGATTCAGTCAGTGTCCCTTAACGGCTCACACTTTTTGGTATGGCTGCAAGGTAGGCATGCCTGAGGAAGCAGAATATGGAGTGGAGACAAGAAATTGTTATCTCAATCTCAGTTCACAATCCCTCTGCAGCCCACACTTGTTGGTGTGTCTAGGAGTTATGCTTTCCCGAGTAGGGAAGGCAAGTGAGTCTGGTGACCAATAGTGAAGGGAGTTCTGGCAACAATATCTCTTTTTCCAATACACCTCTTCAGGAGGGCTTGACCAAGTGAATGCAATGCACGTAGCACAGTTTTTGTATATTTGTCATCAACGCACTTAAGACATTATCCATCACTTCCTTAATGTGTTTTTAGGTGGTGTCATTGATAAGTCACTAGCTTTGGGTACTTAGGAGTCATTATATCAAATGGAACCGATAGTCAGACAGAGCAACATCCTCCTGACGAACGTCACCACAGTCTGCATGCCTCCAATTTTCGAAACTAAGCACCAAGCATTCGAAGAAGCACCTGAGAGAAACGTAGCCGCCATTACTCACAGTTGGCCAATAGCAGCTGGGGACAAAGGATCACAGGTCACCAAGCAAAATAAACAGGTAAGACCCATCCGGTCACATGTCGATGCACCAAGAGTGGAATACCCAGATGGGTTCCTAAACTGTTCATTAGGTGCGCATGACAGCAGATCACATGAGAAATTGACGTATGTGAAAGCGGGCTGTAAATTAATCGTTTATTATGGAAGATAAGTGGACATCCAAGTTTCTCATTATGGAGTTTTGATTTGAAAGCAAAACGTCAAAATTAAATAGGTCAAAAAAGTAAGGCGTCCATCCGTAAGATTTCCAGACCTCTTGCTCGGCAGACGTGCATGATCTCTTCGAACTTAGTGAGTTCCGTTTAGCTGGGCTCTATTTGGGGAATGAGCCGGTCATCTCAACCAACATCAGCTTACGTATGTGAACAACAGCCTCAAGCAACCCGCTATTACCGATTAAGTGTGAGTCCTGTTCGGACACAGGAGCCACTGGGGCGCACATCAAATCGAATGACACCTGACAAGCTGGGTGGGTACCCTCCTTGGTGGTACTCTGGATTTGGAGTGTGGGCGGGGCTCTGAATGTTATCGGACATCCAGTTAAATGGTCACATTCGACTGGATTCCCTATTTTTGAACTTCTAACTTGCCCTCTCCATTTCCGGCACAATGGCACCCTATTCCTGATATGTATTCTGCAATGTCGCACTCACCGTGTTTTCTGCTGACATCAAGCCTTCCCACTGCTTTTACTTCATCGACATGCGCCGCTGCTACAGCGCGTTCCACTTTGCTTGTTCACACTGTTATGCAAGTAACTGGCCTTCAAAGTTCACTTCTTACCGCGATCGTGGCATCACGTTCGACCTGCATTCCATCTCGGCGCCATGTAAGCAACTGAATAGACCAGGACGACGCCTATGTTGCGCTTATTTACAGTTGCAGTTAGCGGTGGATTGTACCTTATGTGTTTCCTTTCACAAGCCTAGTTCTTGTCTCTGTGCGGAGCAGATATTGTGCTAGTTAGATTTAGTCTCTAGTTCACTTTTGTTTATAACCGCAGCTCAAGTCCACTGGATTAGTAACTGTTTACAGCTTCTGTGTGAGCACAGGTATCCCGTAGGTGTAAGAAGTCAAGGGTAAAAGTGGAAAGGGACTGGTTTGGTCGGAAACGGGTTGTTCAAATCTCATCGGTTGATGATCTTTGCATATGCCAGTATGTAAGGGGATTGAAGTGATTTTCCAACTGGTAGGGGGGGGGTACGTCCTAACAAATGGATCAGTGAACCCAAATGATGTGCACGGCTGGACGGTAAACGCGTGCGTCCGTCTGCCGTAATTAGTGATTGATAATTTGGATTCTATGTTCATGTAACCTCAAGTGCCTTGCACGTCCTGTTTCTGTAATTTTTGAGACTTACTGTTATACCAATAACCACCTTATCACACAGTTTTGTTTTCTGTTTTCCTCTGGCTTAACGTCCAGCCATGCACATCATTTGGGTCCACTGATCCATTCGCTAGGACGTGCCCCTCCTAACACCAAAACCTTTAATGCGTTGTGTCCAAAGTGTTGGCTTGAGGGTGCTTCTCCAGCATATCTGATTTCGATGCTTCCCTTGACTCCAATGAGATCAGTTTGCATCACAATAGACAATCATAGATATCCACACAAATGCATCCATCAGATCAAAATCTAAGTGCTTTTGGGCATCACCGTGCTCGGTTCTACCAAGGCATTGAAATCATCCAAAAGGCAGCAAATGTTAGAGAAGCCGCTAAATGTTTGGTGCTATCAGCTTACAACCCTTTATATCAGCACCGGTTTAGTTTGCATACGCAATCACCCAGTAGAGTTGTTAAACTACGACTTGACCCAGGACCTCAGTCATTGGTCACAGTCATCGTTTGTCAAAGAAAGTTGTTGCGAACTGGTGCGGTCGTACTGCTTCTACCTAGCACCTAGATGAATAGGTGTTAGATCGCTGCTTCGTTTAATTACAACTCCGAATCGGTGCGATATGAACTACGATCATTCGAGTTTGATGCAGAGGACTTAAGCACAGAGCCATTTTGAGAAAACGACTTCCTAACTGTACTTATCTGTGGCTCGTTCCCTTCCACTTTGCGGCTTTCTGCCGTGAAGCAGACGGGATTGGCTTTTAAAGCTTCATTTTTGATATCTGTATCCGCAAGTGATGTACCTAACAAATTACTTTACTGTGCATCCAATTTGGGTGAGCGGCAGAAAGGTACTGCATGAAAACCCGCACCAATTCCAGCTCCAAATGTTGACACACATTATCGTGTACAGTTAGCATTCATAGGCTACTATGTTGATAATAGGATGTATGAAAGTTGCACTCCAAATGGATCTAGCATATTGCTCCATCTAAATTACTTCATCCTTCTGGCTATTTGGTGAATGTTTTCTTACGCCAATCGTTCCACTCTGCAATTCTATGCCTCAAATAGGAAGCCAGCGTTCTACTATCGCATTTGGAGACCCGACCGAACAAGGAATCGACGGACAAGTTCTCATTAGAACTATTTGTTCAGGTAACTGGAACAATTGAACAAGTGAAGCGATTAGCGGAAGCTCTGCGGAAGATATTGCCGACACTTGTCATTCATCAAGAGATTGACGTCCAGGCCAACCCCCCTGTACATGGTACGTGAGCACCTCTGCTCAACTGCACCCCTTTATTGGCGCTTCATCCCATAATCAATGGTGATATTTTGGTATAAGTAGAGCCGGTTTCTAAAGGTGTGTGATGCAAATGAGTGAACACAGCTTTTTACCTTCCAGGTTTATTAAAGGATTCATTTTGCTGAGCCTACATACCGTAATCCGCTTATGATACTACAGTTCACTCGGGTAAAATTCCTGTTTGCAAGGAGTTTTCAGAGCACTTGAATTGTTCAGAGAAAATTTTGTTATTTCAGGATGCAACAATGATTCCACTAATACCGGGAGACCGCTACATGAAACAGTAACTAGTGTAAGGCAATAGTGAGCGGACTGTATCATAGAACAGCTCTTTGTCAAAGTTCACCGATCAAAAAATTCTTAGTTCACCATTTGTAACCGTTGTCGTATGCATGTATGCATAAGGTATGCAGATTATCGCAATGGCTATTCTGCACTGTTCCCAACGTTAGTGGATGTCCGATTAGGTGCAGTAGGAATACTGTTTGTAGAAATATTGGGACTATCCACCAGAATGACGACGCTGAATTTTCGCTACCGGTCATGTTCATCCGGAACGATAGATTCATGAAAGTAGGAGGTAATTCCATAGCATCGAAGCGACTTATACTGCGAGGCCATGGAGGATTCAGACTCGCAGCTCCCCGATTCTCTTTTGTGTCGCATGCACTTAAAAGACAGACACTTACCTTATGGCCTGAGTGAACCGCCCCCCCCTCCTAACTCTACACCCGAAAAGAGCGGCCACTTTGCGGCTGCTTTAAGGTGCACCCTAAAGGGAAGATACGTTCACATCCTTAGCATGGGTGCTTTTAACGTAGATTGTTTGGAAACTCCTGCCACGATCTGAGAACAATTCCAAGCCGATATGCAGATGCTCTTACCCAGTGTTCTGCTTTAACTTCAGGTCACTTTACTCACTCGGTTCAGAACAAGTTGCAGGCCATCTGTGAGAAAACTTGTGCTTGCCAAGGAGACGAATCTAAATAATGTGTTGGTTGTAGACTGTCTGTTAGGTCGCTTTGATCATGCAGTCATTAGTTCCAACTTCGTATGCTATGCGGAATATCGGAAGGTGAACTATGAGACTGTGCAAACTACAAGCTACGATCGACTAGCCCAGCTCATCAACACCACAACTTGGACCATGCTTGCCGAAGGACCCCCGGAAGTCACGTGGTTCGAGGTCGTCAGCAAATTCAGTCGGCTGGTTACAGATGCTTCAGAGACAAGAGTCTGTACTAGGCATATAACCGATTCATTCGTAAGAAGCAGAACTCAAAAATTGACGGATTTATGCAACGCAGCATAGCGGGCGTATTGAGTAGCTCCAACCTTAGAAACCTGGCACAACTAGGTATCCCAATGTAGCCACTACACTTAAGTGATCAAAGATGACAAAGCCGCATATCAGCAAGACATGCCAAAAGCCTTCAGCGCTAACCACAACTGCTGTACAAGCACATCCCTGATCTGTGAAAGGTGAGGCAAAGGTTCCAATCACTCTAGACGGCTGATCACCTAACAAGAATTGCTATGGAAGCAGCAAATGCACTGCAGATGCAATATGCCGCAATGTCTCAGATCTTGCCACCAAGTAACCTTCCAGCTTTCGTCGCCCAGCCACCAAGAATCGCCCACACCTCTTTCACTGCCAAGCTGTATTGCAGAAGCTGATGTCTTTGCGCAAGCACAGCTCCCAGGGAGTCGATACCATTCTCCAAAAAGCACAGGGGCGACAGCAAGACAACTAGCGGAACCTTTGCCTCAGTTATTTCAGTGCTGCTTAGACCCGAGCCAGATTCCTCATAGGAGGAAACAGAATAATAACTGGTTCACAAAGGCAGAAGAAAAACTAAGCCTTCAAACTAACTCCCAGTATCTCGTCTCACTATATTGCCCAAGGTTATGTAATCTACGGTTGCCGATACGTTAGTGTGTTGTCTAGTAGCCTGTAACGGTGTTATTCCCGAGCAACAGGGCTTTTGTCGACTGCGATCGTTCGCACCGAATTTACTACTCAAAAGCAGTAGTTGGACCGAGGCAGCTGACGTTGGAGAAGCGGTTGCTGTGACCTACCTGGATTTTTCAAAAGCGTTCGATCGTCTGGAGCATCGGACACTCCCATCTAAGCTCCAGTATTGAGGGATCCATGATACTCTTTGGAGCTGGGTCGCCAAGTTTCTACTTCAACGGCATTTAGTGGTCAGAGGTGAAAGCTATTTATCTGGCCCAATACAATAATGTGTGGAGTGCCGCAAGATTATGTTCTAGGTCCACGATTGTTTTTGGTGTTTATCATTGATCTCGCACAGGTAAGCGCTTCAAACATCCTAAGGTTTGCAGAGGACAACAAGATTTAGCGCAGGATTCATGTGAATGCTTGCCAGCATCTGTTACAGAGACCTAGATACGGTATTTCAATGGTCCACCAAGCATTTACTGCATTTCAGCGTAAGTAAATGCAAGCTACTTTCCACCCGACATCAGAGCAGCTACTCATACCTGCTCGGAACGAATGTACTACAATAATCAACTGTCGAACCTGACTTGGATGTCCTGGTTCAAGATGAACTGGGTTGCTCCAGGCAATATGAATGGGCCTGGAAGACTGGAGACCACCTCGTCGGACTATTGCGACAGACGTTCGGACAAAGAGCCATCTCAAATTTTCTACGCATGCGGCGTGCATATGTTCGCCACCATGTCGAATACACAGTTCATGCCTGGTACCCATGGCTGAAACACAACTTTAATGCACTGGAGCAGCCTCAACGACGGGTAGCTAAATACGTCATTGGAATGCACAATCTCGCATACAAGCAGGGGCTGAAAGGCTTGGGCGTTTTCAACGGACGATGTCGCAGATTACAAGGCGATCTGATAACGGCGTTGATTATGCACGACCAACATCATGTGTGTCGCTGCTCATTGCAACTCAGGAGCAATAGAAAGGTGAGAGATCATTCGCTGAAGCTCGCAGAACAGTATAGCCGTATGGAATGCCGCAAGGACATTTTTTCATTCGTGCCAGTGCTGAATGGCACGGATGGACAGTCCCTAACCTCCAGCACTGAGCGTGCGTCCGCGTTGGCGGCGCACTTCGCTTCTGTATTTGCGAAAAACCAGGTGTCTGTTCCGAGCTCGACGTGTACCGCTTTTACCGAACTCGATAGTCTGCATTGCGGCGTTGAAGAGGTAGCTCAACTACTCTCCAACCTTGACGGCACCAAACCTGCCGGACCTGATGGGCTTCACCCACTGGTTCTCAAGTCACTTTCAACCATCCTCTCTCCTATAGTGACTGACCTTCTCAACAGATAGCTGTCCAAAGGTTTGTTCCCGGTTGACTGGAAATGTGCGGTGGTGAAGCCTATTCCGAAAGGCGGCGACCCTAGCAAAGTAGACAATTACAGGCCAATTTGTCTGACGCCTATTTTGGCAAAGGTTGCTGAGAAAATCGTGAAGAAGAGATTGCTGCAGTTGCTACAGTCAAACGAGATCCAGACGCCCGCACAGCACGGTTTTATGCAAGGTCGCTCATGCATTACGAACCTGCTTGTGACGAGGCATGAGTGGTTGAAGGCAATAAATAAGAGGAAGTCCGTCGACGTGATATTCATCGATTTCAGTAAAGCGTTCGACAAGGTCAGTCATGAGGTTCTCCTTCACAAACTCAGCATGTGTGGCGTCGGTGGCTCACTGCACCGGTGGATCCGCGACTTTCTTGTTGGACGAAAGTGGAGGGTACAGGTCGACGACCATCTAACTGACTGGTACCCCTCTACAAGTGGCGTGCCTCAAGGCACTGTGCTGGGGCCCACTCTGTTCCTGATCCACATCAACCATCTACCGCAGCTTCTCCGATCGCCGTGTGCCTTGTTTGCGGACGACATGAAGATTTGGAGAGAAATCGACGCTCCCGATGACTGTGGCCTACTTCAACAAGACCTCAACCGCCTATCCACATGGTCTGCAGAAGTTCTTCTCCCGGTCAACCCAGCCAAGTCTGTATTTATGAGCCTGGGGAAGGGTGCTGACGGCCGAACCTACACCCTTGACGGCCAAACGCTATATCCCACACCCTCCGTGAAAGACCTAAGTGTACTCTCACGCTACGATTTGAAGTCCGTGGGCAACACGAACAGGCCATATCGTAACGGACTGCACATGCTTTGGGCGCTCAAACGTATCTTCGGGACATGGTCTGAAGAGGTTGCCACTCACCTGTTCTCTTCTATCATTAGACCAATGCTAGCGTACGGTTCGCCCGCCTACCTTCCAATTACCCGAGGCGAGGCACAAAAGATCGAACGGGTCCAACACGTTGCTACCAGGCTGATCCCGAGTTTACGTGGCTTCGGTGCGAGAAACTAGGACTCTACACCTTGTCCTACCGTCGGGTGCGAGTCGACCTCATTATGACTTACCTTATTCTACATCTCGGTGACTTCCCAATGTTAAGGCCGATGCTGCACTTACGACGGCCATGCAGCACACGCGGACACAGATACAAACTTGTCGTGCCGGATGTGAAATGTCTTCCCCATCCACTGTGCTTCGAACGGAGAGTGGTAAACATTTGGAAGAGTTTGCCTGAACATGTGATTGAGGCAACATCTGTGCAACAGTTCAAGACGTTGTTAAATTTGTATTTTGCCACTATTCGATTCACGGAACGACTGCATACTTACGATGACATATCACATTTGTGAATCCTGAAATATCGTAAGTCGAATATTTTAAATATTACATGAGAACGACATTGCTATTTACGGTTGACAACTTTCATAAGGTTTTTCACTATATTTCGAAAGAGTTGTACAGAATCCATTTCTCTTGCTCTATAATATTCAGTATATGTCACTCTTGATATGCTCTGTCTGAATTCATCTCTCTGTACCGACATCAGCAATACGTAAAAGACGGTTGGATGACGCACCCCTCATGTTACACTTTGTTACTTAGCACTAGGTCTCTAGCTCACTCTGAGAATATATCGTGGATTTATTTGCTGTTACTGGTGGGTTCTGTGAAGCTACACCGATTGCGGGACTACAGTGGAACAAATAATAAGTCCTTCAGTTCAATTATTAACTGTTTTATTAAGCTTTTTCCGTAACGCTACCAAACTACTCAACAGAATTAGTAAAGCCATATTTTGCAACTGCATAAATTCATTGGTAATTGTTCAAGCACCTTTGTTCATCTGTGGGAATGGCTTCTTCTTAACTACATACAGCTGCATATTTTATATCCAGCTAGGGGCGCGCCGAAGATTCAAGCTGTCTTTGTGCAGGAAAATATATTTAGGTTACCATGGTAGAGATTACGATTCGGAGGCAGATTCAAGGGTAATCCATAAACAAAGTACATAGTCGGGACTTGCTTTATGTCGCCAACTGAAGACTGCAGGTCAAGTGGAAGCCATTCAATTGCATGTGACGCAAGCATAAATAGTGTGCAACTCAATGATTATTAAGACGGAAGTTTGTCAAAGATCAACTACCACACCCTAGAATGCACATGCGAGCACGACTGCGCATTTGCCATTCTGGTACTTTTGTGCGATAAACCAATTTATGCCAATAGCATTTAGATTGGTGTTTCCTTGCACAATTGCATTTACAGAAGACTCCGGAAGGCAAGGAGGTGAATTGCTTCAGGTTCCTTGGTTTCCGAGACACATTTCGGAGTTAGACATCATCGCCAACAACGTTTACGTGTATGGGAAGGATCTGGACGCCGATTACCCGGTGAGATCTAATCAGAATAATGCAGTGTTTTCCATTTAATTATTTATTTTAAGTAAAAAAATGCGGCATCGAAATGGAGTCCCGTACTTCATGAATGATTTTAACTAAATTGCGACATGCTCGGGAGATATACTACCTACGAGCAATTCGTTCTATCGGGGATCGCTCGGTACATGCTTGCAGTGGGCTTGACGTTACACACAGACGACAAACGCTATATCGCTCCTGATTTTCTCTTGACAGCATGGTCAGGAGTGGTTATCACAACGAATTAGTTGTGCTAAGTAAACGATGTGTTGATAGAGAGCTGCTTCGCGCCAAAAAACTGAGAGCTTCAAGTGATTAGTTCCAAAAAGTATATTTCCTAACCAATGACCTGTCGTGAAAGCTCCCAGAAAGTTCACCGACTTCATGTTGCGGCAACCACCTACTTACAGACTAACTGAAACGGATTCGCAACATTAACTTCAACAGTAACTCATTCAGATTAAAGATCAAAAGTTCCTCAAAGGAGTCACAAATACAGCTGCAGGAGGCTCGAATCCTGCGTGAATTATTTCGGTAATCATTATTACGTTAAACCGGATAGTTTGTCGAAATCAACAATCTCTGTGTTTCGTAGAAGCCAAACTTGATTCTGCTCAGCATCTAACAGGATTTAAAAGATACAACAGACTTGAGAAGAATTAATTAATGACACAGTCACTGTTGTACCCTTAAGCACATAACGTCTGGTTCGTTTTTGGAATTCAAGGCCGGTGCGCATTACCTGTATCATGAACGAAGCAAGCCACTAGGTTGCGGAAAGCACCAGCAATGAACACGGCTATGCAACAGTTGCGAATACACGATCGGTGGTACAGATATTGTGCCATCGGAATCATAGCTGAATAGGAAAATAATATAAATAATAATAAAATAGCAACAACAAATGGTTTTTTGTTTCTTTTACCACTCACAGTTTTTGAAAATTTTTCAGTTTGTTCTTTTTTATGGAGAGGAAGAAGGGACACTGCAACAAACCGATGCACGCATCCGCCATTGACATCGACCTTGAGCCATGGCTTCCAAGGTCTTCCACCAGCAGGTATCCGCATTTCTCCGACCCCAACCAGGTAGTCGACAACAACCGGCCGAGGCCAACTGTTTCGTCAGCTTTTTCATGCGGCTTCTCCATGTTGTAGGCTGTCCACCAGACCGTCTCTTCCAGCCCCGTCCAGCAAGTGCAAACAAGGCACGACAGGGGTAACGCTGGACAGGCAAGCGCAATACGTGTCCCAATCACCGCAGTTGATGCAGTGAGATGAGCTCCTCGAGCGAGTGGCTTCCACGTCGCAAGACACGCTGTCTAACTTCCACATTGCTTACGTGGTGCTACCACCACACATGGGCAATGGACCACAGACAGCGGTGCTCGAAGACGGATAGCCTGCGCAAGTCATCTTTACGAATGGTCCAGGTCTCGCATCCGTACAACAGTACAGCACGAACAGCTGCACAATAGACCCACCCTTTGATGGAGAGACGAATGTCATGGCGAGGCCACAAATGTCTCAGCCTAGAAAAAGCGAGGCCTGCTCTCGAGATGCGCATATTAATCTCGTCTCCAACAGCTTCGCCAGCAGTGTTGCAGCTTCCCAAGTAGACAAAGCTCTCCACAACCTCTAGTGTCTCACCAGCAAGCATGAGTGTAGGCAGAGACACCTGCCAGTTTCGGAAGAGAGCCTTGCATTTGGCTGGCGAAAAGTACATACCGTACTTTGATGCTTCAATCGCCAAGCGGTTTAATACAAGTTGGACGACGTGTGGATCATTACCTTGCAAGAAGAGATCATCAGCATAATCCAGTGATGAAATCGGTCTAGATACAATTTCAAGTGCGCTGTGGTTCACAGGAAGATTTCGTCTCCCATTTTATTCACATCATGATTGCTTCAAAATAATCCCCCTTACCCATCAGAGCAACATAATATGTTTAGCCAAATGAGATTAGGTCTGGGTCGGATCACTGCGCATTGCTTCAGACATACAATGAGGTTTATTTCAACCAGTCAACATTGTCCACTATGTTCTTATGAGTTCTCCACAATATTGCCCGCTCACATCACTCAACTGGCATCGCTAAGGCATCAATCAATGTTTAAGGAAGCCATTTCGCCCCTTTTATGCCAAATGTTTTACTTCCTACCTTGTTTTGGCTCTGCACAGAGTTTTAAAGACGAAGAATATCGAAAGAGGCGTAACATATTTGCTGAAACTGCGTCCAAATACAAACAGTAAGTCCGAGCTTACTGATATTTAGACTGTGTCAACAAAGGCTAGTCATACAATGCATAATGATTACGTTAACTTTTCATTTCAGTGGGACTCCAATTCCCAGATTTGAGTACACAACAACCGAGAAAGAAACCTGGTAAGCAGCGTAAGGCCAAGAAAACTTGCAGAGAAACCTCTTTATTTGAGTATTAGGTGATAATTGTATACTACTAGACGGATCAACAATTAGCTAAGCTTATAGGCGCTTCATTTCTGAAGTAGATAGCACTATATACTTGAGGTAAGAGGTTTCGTTTATAACCACCAGTAGGCGACATAAGGTATCACGAACGTACAGTCAACAACACAGCATGAAGTACAGACTCGTCAAAGCGATTTATATCCAATCAAATAACGGGCACGACAGTCGTTTCTGTCTCCTGTGGCTCAGTGATCCAAACCATTGACTGCCAACTATATATATATATATATATATATATATATATATATATATATATATATATATATATATATTGTACAGTTGACCAACAGTACAAACGACTGCGTGCCACAACGTATGGACAAAGCTAATGCAACCGTAACGAAAAAATAGGGGGGTTAAAAAGGAGTGTAGAACAGCAGTTCTGGGGGTAGAGTCTCACATGTTTGGCATCGCGCAGGGTTTCTTGACATATCCGATGTGGTTTCTACCCATGTGTGCTCGTGATCCTTGCGCTCCCAACCAGGGAGTCGAGAGCGCCCGACCGCGACTAAATGTGAAGTCAGCTCCTTCATACCTTTGTCCAGGTCACACGCTGACCACCTTGGCTCCACTTTCAGCCGACTTCTATGCGTGCAAAGAGTGTACGGTGAGGCAAACGCTCAGTAGACATGCGAAGCACGTGTAAAAGCAACCGAAGCATGTGTCGTGAAAGTATGCGGTTCAGCGGACGGCAAAGTCTGTCTGATCCTTCGGTGAACCTCCTCATTACTAATGTGATGTAGCCACCGCACGCCAGTAATGCTCCGGAGGCAGTTGTGATAAAAGACAGACAGTCTCTGGACTTCTTTTGCGCGAACAGGCCAGATCACACGACCGTAGAGCAGAAGCGCTCACAACATAGCATTGCAGACTCGGCCCCTCAAGGATAGACTCAGGTCGTGTCGACACCAGAGATGGCGGAGGTTATCAAACAGAACACGGGCCTTAGAGACACGCAATGGTGCGTCATCCCTTAAACCGTTAGCGCTGATCCAGCTTCCGATGTAAGCGAACTTGTCTACCACTTCCAGAGAATGACCAGAAGGGTCAAGGGTGGGAGTATCTCCTAGCCAGTCCTGTACAAAGATCCTACACTACGAAGGGGGAATGTCATTCCAAATTTGGAGACAGACAACTCCAACCTGCACAGGACATTTTGGGCTGCCTGTGAGGAATCCAAAATTACGACCATGTCGTCTGCCTACTACAAATCTTGTAGTCAATTCTGCGGAAGCAGCTCAAGCTGCTGGGTCCGCAGTTGTCCAGTGAGCTTTGCAAGATGTCATCTATAGCAAAATTGAACAGGAAGGGCAATTCTGGGCGGCCCTGTCTCACGCCACTGGTGATAGTAAAGTAAAGCGAAAGTTTGCTGTACACTCACACGCTGCCCGAGTTTGAAGAGTACGTGGCTCGAAGATTCTTACCGTACTTCTAAGGTACTCCACTTCTCAAAAGCCAGCTCCGGAGAACAGCTCGGTCAATTGAGCCCAACGCCGCTCGCATGTTTAAGAAGACAACGATGGTTGGTCGGCCGAATATTTGATGACGCTCAAGTACTTGGCGAAAAGATGTGTTTGCTACAAATCCGGTCAGAGCGGAACCCAGCTTGCTCTTCGTGTATATTTTCTTCGCGTACCAGACTGAGCCTCCTTAAAAGCAGGGCGGCGAGCACCTTAGAAACAAAGCAAATTAGACTAATCTCTCTGTGGTTAACACAGTCTGACCGGGCACCCTTTTTGAAGACGGGTACGATATAAGGTAGAAGCCAGCCAGAAGGGATTACTTCGGCGGTCCAAACCGCTTAGAGGGAGGAAGTTAACTCCCGAACAAGTAATAGACCTCCATCTGTGAAAAGAGTAGGATGAAGTTCGTCTGGGCAAGAACCGTTGTAGTGCTTTAAGGGGCAAGGCCCTTGAGCAACCGCAACGTCTGATGGTGGTGAAGCGTCTAAACCCCAGGGTGCACTCTAGATTCCGAATGGGAACACATCGGTGTTTCTGGCCAATTAAACTGCTGCCCAAAATTTTCGTCCCAACGCTCAACTCGGCATTTTTGACAGTGGATTGGCTCGCCATTAGTTGCGCACACCACTTCGCATACAGTCAGCCTTCTGTCGCCAGTGGACCGGATCAGGAGGAAAAGCCTTCAGAAATTCCCCGAGCTGGCCGTCTGCTCTATATCAATGACCAGTGGCGTCCAGCCGACCTCACGATCCTCCTGGAGGAGCTGTTTGAGTTCAATGTTAGGGGTCATGCGTAGTGAATGATACTCAACGCCAGCTAGAATTGCTTGAAGAGTTTTGAGAAGTTGGAGTAATCGTGCGGACATCCAGCGATTGACAGTACTACTTGTGAAACCACAGGCCAGGGTCGCAGAGGTTTGCATGGCATTGCGGTTGTGTGCTCAGTGTGTTTCAAGTGCGTTTCAGACATGAGGCTCTCTTGAGATTTGCGTCCAACGCATTCTGAAACGCGATGAGAACGATTGGGGCAGAAAGCTTATCCACTCCAGGTCGTTTCCGGGGACTTCGTTTGGAACCATCAAAACTTAAAACACCTTTAGTACACACTTGCGCGCAATCTGAAGCGTGGTGAGTACCCCAGATTGATTTGCAATCCTTTGTGCAGCGTGGCCAGCGATAACTGATAATTATGTGATCATGCCCCATCCTTGGCTGGCCAGGAAAAGGAGGCTTCCAGGTCTCGCGTTGGCGCCAGGATAACCTAAAGCTAGTACCCGGCAGGAAGCGGCTGTGATCGGCGCAAAGCTGTAGTAGGCGATCACCGTTATCATTTTTGCGAGTGACATGGCCATGTTGACGACCGAGTTCACGCAGTATAACCTCAAATCTACCGACCAGTGTGTTTAAATCCCCTGCAAGCACCACGATATCTGAACGGCACTTTTTTCGGAGGTCGGACACTTAACAGTAGAACTCGTCTTTAACTGACTCCGGACTGAAGTCTGTGGAAGCGTACGCTGCTACAACGAACAAGCAGCGTCTGCTAGTCCAGCGACTGGAAAGTCGAACTGAGGTCTCAAGTCGGACCGCGCATAGTCGACTGTTGACAGGGATCCAGTCTAGTAGCGCAGCCTAAGCACGTGCGCTTAATGCAATCCACACGCCGACAAGACCAGCGGCTTTGGCGGTTTCGTTTCCAGGTAAGCGCAAGATGAAAATGCACGTGGAGCGCGCAGAAGGTGAAACCAATCGTAGCATCGTGCCGAGGTCCTATAGTCGGATTTCAGCAATGCAGCGGACATCGATGCCAGTGGTCTCTAGCGTGCGAGCAGAGGCTGCTTGCGATCCGACCTGCATAAACGTCAGAACATTGAAGGTCGCCAGTTTTAATTGGGAACGAGGGGCCAAAAAGATTTGACAGTAAAACTTGACGGTTCACTCTTGGACCGAAATTCCTGGTCCGTATGTAGAGAGAACTCGTCCAAGGAGGCACGGTGTTGTGGACTCGGAAACGGAGAGGGATTACCAAGGATGGGGAATTGAACAAACACGGAGTAAATTAACTGAACTGTGGTGCTTTAGAGCACGACATAGCATGTTCGGCCGCCAGAACCTCGGCTGAGGGTAGCATTAACAAAGAGCAGAGGAAAAGAGGGCAGAGAATCGTTGAAATATTGAATTATAAGTGGTGTCGGTATGTTGCTTCCCAATTGCTCAGGCCGAGGAAAAGAGTTGACTTAGGGTACCCTACCTGCAACCTTTGGTCTTAAAGACTTGACACACATAGCAGTGGGGCGATTGAGGTATATCGCATAGCGTTGGGAGCCGGCTAATACGATGATGAGGACACGGCTTTCAAGTAGGAATAAACTACTAAGGGCGCCCAATAAGCCCTAATAAAGCAACACCGAAAACACTAGAAATTTCCTGGGCTACCGATATTGCGGATGAGCACAAAGGACGTTGACGGCCAGGTGGTTCATACGCCTTCGCAGAAGCCGGTGGCCATCGGGGTAGTTCATCTGCCCTCCGTTAAGTACTCACTTCTGGTGGCAGAAGTGAGTGGTCAGAGACCATAGAGTTGGTCTCATTGGTTTTGGCACAGCGTCTTATTAGCTCTTGTGATATGTAATGAGGACCCAGGTGACCATCCCAGTACCCCCCCACGCTCTAGAACAGTGCCACTGATTGTCCTTGACGGTTTATTCATCGCCCCTGCGTGCAGCCGAGACTTATTCACAACTGCTTTCGCATGCAACCCGTTCCCCGATCCGTAACCCCGGAACGTGCCCGGTGGCATGCAACTCCGACGAACCAAACAGTAGTCAGGTAACTTCCGGGAGCCAACTGCTGACATTTCCATAAAGTATGAAACGACCATACAGCACTTTTCCGAGCATGTGACTGCTGTCGGACTGAGTGTATATATGAGGAACTTCTACCTATACCAAAAAGCAATTGTTACTGCCAATTTAGATTTTCAGTTCCTGTTTATTGCTTTTTGTGCAGAGTGTTAACTTATCTTCACGGAGGATAATAGCTTCATGTGGTATGAAAATCCTGCATTTTCATTTCTTTTTACCAGTTCGGGATTGTCCAAGCTGCCGGGCCACTCATTTTAAACAGGCGAATCAACTGACAGCTCAGTTATCAGGGAGTTTTGGCAACCGAGAGAAGTGTCGGGTTAGTAAACAAGCTCAACAGCCTCTCAAAATATGGAAAGAAAACAGCGATAAAGGAAATTTAGCGGTATAGAAGAGAAAGTGACTGCCGTTAGTAGTCTGAAACGGGAATAACTTCCGAAACAAGACAAAGAACACTAATATTCATCATGCGCTTGGGGGAAACAGAACAAATCCAATGAAGTCAGCAGATGGTCTGAACTATTCAAATTGCACACGTGGTGGTGAGAGTAAAAAGGAAGAAGAGACGAGGCACGGGGGCTCATGCCATCACGACCATAATTCGGGTTAGCAAAATGAGTGACACAAGAAAGCTTATTCAACATCGCGACCGTCGAAGCAGCTGACGGCCACACAGGGAGTTCAGAGATGCAGCTCACAAGCCGTTCTATGCCGGTAGTTTCAGTGGAAACTTGGACCAACTGAGCTTCAAGCTCATTGTCTTGAATCCAGCTAATGAGAGAGTTTACCTAATGAGGAAAGCTTTGCATAGCATGCAGTTTTCCTCTATTGAATGGTACAATCAGAACTATTATGACTGCCACAAACGCCGAATCTTCGGAGGCCCAATTATGGGATTTGACTAGGCCTTTATCGGTTAAGTTAGAAAGTGGCTGGCCGGTGGTTCGCATGTATGTATCGGTTGTCCTTGCTCTCAATGGAACCACACCATTTATCCGGCTGGGCAGGAGTAAAACGATAACCGAAGCTGTGGTCGTAGAAGACAGCAAATAATCAGAATCTATAACACTTGATGTACTTGTAATCCACCACAAGGTGACCCCTAACATGATACCTCAAACAGACCTATTCAATCATAAGCTTAAGCTGGGATTATTCTACTGCTGCGATTACATCTGCCACCAGCTATATAACAGCATGGAATGAACATTTGTAGCAAATTTAGTAACCATAATGACCTGTAGACTACTTCAACTATTTCAGTTGGTTCCACCTAGCATGGACATGATATCCCTTTTCTGTCCGTCATAAAATTTCTCATGTTATCCAAATCTGACAGGGGCTACGTATACAGAGAATTGACGAAACTGTACGAAACGCATGCATGTAGACAGTATTTGGACAATCTCAAACTACTGCAACTATTCGCTGGTTACGGGTGAGCTTCTAAAACATGGAAACTTATAAAGCATTGATTTTTTGTCTGTAATAAATACATCGGTTGATCCTGCCATTGACAGAACACAGCGTAATTTATTGATGACATTAACAAAGTGCCTTGCATGTATTAAGTAGCAATTACTTTGTAGAGTGTAAGAACTCAATGAGGGCTTGGTAAGGTGAAATTCATCAGTGTTTCATAGTACAGGGAGGTGGTGTGTGTGTGGGTGGGTGCAAAAGCTGCTTAATCGACCAGGTAAATTTTTAGTCTAAATAACATTATTCATACGACATCTAACTTCCGCGAGCGAGTGTTTCTACATCCTTAGCACATCATTTAGCCGTTGAATTTCTGCCGTGACGGAGTCACATATGAGGTGTGCGAAAGGTAACAATGCATCGAATCCTCATGTTGTTGAGCATGTGCTAAAATCAAAGTAAACCTCACGCAAGGGGAGCTAAGGTTAGGCGGAGTGTTAGAGTGTTGATCACATGTCTTGGACCTGGTAATGTATATACAGAAATGATCAGGATTCATGCATCTCACCTTGCGTTTCTGCAATGTTTGTGTCTGCTCATCCAAGTAATGTCCTAATCTCCCCATCCTTTCCTTGCAGAGAGCAAGATTTGCCGCAATTGGAGGATGTGTCAAAGTTTCTCAAATGTGAGTCGATTCCTGTTGTAATTATTAGAGTACCCTTCAATGAACAGATATAGAAATAACGATATATTTCTCGAAAAGTGGGATACTTTCCCAACATTAGGGAAAAGGAATTTGTACGGACAGGTGGTACTAACATTTTCATGTATGATGCTACAAGACACGGCCGATTACTACAAAAACATAGTTCATGTTCCTCACAGATTAGAATAGATTTAGATTCCGATAAGTTTGTATCACTCTTGCTGGGCCGATGTAAACTTGTTCCATTACCCGCACCAGAAATAGATCAAGTTGTGCAGTTTCTTGGAAGCCGATACCTCTGTGATTAGTTGCTGTCCGATGTCCAGCCAAGTGTGTAAACCACGGCGACGTTGACCTGAATGATCCAATGTGGTGGATTGCTTGTCAACTGCATCACAGGTTCCAAGTGTGTTTGACCAACCAAAATCACCTCTACCCATATGATTTAGACTTGGTTGTACCAGTGTACATAACATTTAGAGAATCCTGTAGTAACATATGTTGTCCTCCACAGAGAGATCAGAGCCAAGGTTTCAGTGTTTCTATAAGTAGCGTAGGTCACCAGCCTGCCAAATAACTAACCCTAGTATGTTTTGTTCTAGGCATGAAACTGTCGAAGAAGAGTACTGAAACAAACAATTTGTCAGCTGATAAAACTTTATCAAAGACAGATGTAGGACAGTCAATTCTCTCATTTCTAGTGTGTAAAAGCAATGCTGGCCAAGCAATTTATAAAAATGATACTTTGAAACAAATGCCAAAAAATAGACGATAGCGAAGCGAAAGCAGTACTCTAAGCGTTGTCCAAAAATATATGTCTAGTGAACTCCTAACAGTCCCATACACGATGGTCTAAAAATGGTATCGATCAAACAGTAAACGCGCGCTTGGGGATCACGGATGGGTGATCACAAAAGGCTGGTTCACCGTAACTTTGGCTGTCGCAAACTATCCATGGAATAGTGTCGAAACTTCTGTTTTCCTAGAGCCGGTATGTAGGAATTGTACCAGTTGCAAGTCCTTGATATCAACATTCGGAAACAAGTTGACAGCGTACTGATCTACCTACATTGAAGGGACTGAGTTCATCTTTCACGGATGACGGAAATGTATATTTGAGTTCACATGAATATTTTGCAGGACCCATAGGCAGTCCACATTGGAACGAACAAAGGGACTAGTAAAACGTTAGACTTTTTTCAAGGAAACCTCTTGTTGCTGGACCCGTTACTAAGCAATCATCATCTTCTAATTTTGGGCTGTATAAAAGTTATGGATTGGTAAATTGTACTGATGTTTGTCTGCTCCTCTTGAGGATGGCACTCAGGCTAAAGGAAATAGTGATAGACAAGTACTATTATAGATCGGTGGTCCATTAAGTATCAAAATTTTGGTAGCTTATGCCACAAACGGCATGAGAAATTAGTTTAAATTATAACTAAAAGATGAAGTAAAATTGCTGGAATTTGTGAACCTTAGTTGGTAGGTAAGTTATCTAGTGCGGTGGAACACCGGTGATCCCTCAGAATTCAAAAAAGACATAATTACTTTTTTGAGAACAACGCAATAAGGCTAAATACGGTGGCTAATCCTGTTAGCGTAGGCAGGTGGATAAACTTTGCTTAGGACAAGAACGGGTCGAAGAGACTACACTGAATTTCACAGAAAGCATCCAAAGTTTTAGTCTTGGGGAACAATCTAAACTAAAATAGGGAGGTTTATCACTTTTTGAGTATTTACTCGCTCAGAGTAGACCGGTGCAGCTTCAATCACATCCGTGAATAAAGCTATAGGCAACACAATTCCATGTTAATGATAATAATGACGTACTAACGAGTACCAAGTATACTGAGTGCAGAGAAGCAACAGAGGAGGCTTGTGACCAAATTGTTAACCGCTCCCTCAAGGAAAATTTTTCTAAGGTAGGTTTTACTGTAACAGATGAATGAAGGTTAGGAGTAGGAGCTCTACACTTGTAATTGCATTGATTTCCTCTTGCGTTCTGGTGAAAGCAGTCTACCATCAAATCTGAGTCACATCGTTGTCCCTTTCACTAGTGACATATACCTCAATTCACTTGTTTGAATGCATTCACGCTGTTTGGTTCTCTCAAAGCTCGCACCGGTTTTACTATCAGACCAGTCGGTGGTTACATCTCCGCCCGCGACTTCCTATCTGGATTGGCGTTTCGTGTATTCTTCTGTACGCAATACATTCGTCATTCCAAGAATCCCATGTATACACCTGAGCCGTAAGTTAAAAATTGTAAACAGATAGTGATATGCATTCTCATACTGGAGAATCATTTGCTTACATATAGTCAGAATAAATTTGAAAATAGCTGTTGCACCACTAAATGGTCTGGTCGCTTGTTGAACTCTGGAAATAAGTAAATTAAACATAAGTGCTATACCTTTCGGTTTTATAAGAAGCTGACCCCACGAGATGCCAGCTCAGATGGCACAAACAATTTGTGCTCGTACATGAGTGAATATGTACAAATACTTGTGACGGTTGAGTGAGCCAATCTGCAACATCAGGACAGGTACTGTTAGCTTATTGGCAATACGTCGCGCACCAAGCAGAAGTCATGTGTTAAAATTTGCGCACCTAATCGTCAGCCCTCGGTAGCTCAGTGGTAGAGCAGCGGACCGGAAATTCGTGGGCCGGAGTTCGATTCCCCGTCGAGGCACATTATTGCGCGTGAATTTTAATCGTGACTTCTATTTCTACAAATACTTGTAGTCAGAAGTCATGCCCAGTTTTAGTCCGTTCTTAGAAGGTTATTAACATGTGTGTAAATGAAGCTATTGGCCTTTCACCTCGAACGCATGCGCGGAGATGAACATGTTCCGAACCCAAAGTCACGCCCCCTGGCTGGATCGATCCCGTCGTGAATGGAGTCAATACGGTTTCACAAAGAGAGCTTGAACGAGCGAACGATACGCTCGTTTGAGGCGAGGAGACAAGTGAGGCACGCATGACCAGAGTGAACAATGTTGACTTGATATTCCAAAATGTTCCCGGCAAGGACTGATCGGTTCCCTCATTTTGATGCCACCTCAGTTCATTTCGACCGAACCCTCCATCACTTAGAGGCGCAGTGCAGGCCACCGTTTAATCTCTTGGTCAAGCTGTTAATAACACAAGGAGGAGAAACATATCCAACGCAGTGGAATGTCTACAGTGTGCTCAACCCATTAATGACGATCGGACTTTCGCGATCAGAGTATCCGTTGGTGCATTTCAGCGGCTATTCTGTTAAATTACCCGCATGTTATGTGTGCGGCGGTGTACTTATGCAATCTTTGCGTGCGGACTCACGTGGTGATCAACCTTGAGTAGGCGCTGAACCTGTCCGCATTATGCACACCGCCAGTCAATTTATGTGTTACCCCCTGCAATTGCGTACAGATCAGTAAATGCAAAGAGCTTCTAGTTCCTGATCCGTTTCATTTGGTGTGGTGCTTGCTCACGCGGGCGACTGCAGGCATCCCTGGATTTTGTAACCGCCCTTAGGGCGTAATGTCTCAGCAGTTAAGTCCCTGCTGCAAATGTCAAAGTGTTCCTTCACCCCTTATTGTCCTTCAACAAGTTGTGGCTACATGGTCCCCAGTAGTAGATCCAATCGTGTGGGCAAGCGATGAGGGAACATTAACTGCCGGGTTCTACCGGTTGTATCGTTTGGCATGTTCCGGTACGCGAACAGGGAACCATCTAAGCGCACACGTTTAATGAACAATGAACAAAGATTTATCACAGGTAAAAAAGCATGTGCTTGACAAGTCCCGTAGAATGGTTGGAGTGAAAATTAATATTTAAAAGATCATCGAATAAGTAACTCGTTAATTTAAGCGTTTACCGATTTAAAGGCATTACTGCATAACGATGGTTTGAACTGGGAATGGGTGGTACACACACAAAATAGTATAAAGTACCGTTATAGTTCAGTAAATGCATGAGAAAAAAAGGAAACGATAACGCTCACTCGTGTGTTGCTTCATGTGACAGACGTGGTATGTTAATCCTGTTTAGGTAAATCCAGTCTACTCCCATGGACACTTCTGCATGTATCCTCATCGCCACAGGGTTAGCTTTGAGTTATTTCGTCCACCAAGTGGAAAAGACTATATCAAGTAATGCAACTTGGGAAGCGTTTCATCAACGCATTTTCTGAATGGCGTAAAGGTAGGGGCAAGGATAAGGTAAGTCGGAAGGGCATTCCAGACACGGGATTCACGGAGGGAGAAAACATTTCGTCGCATTCATGCCGACTGTTGTGCGTAGCCACTTTGAGCTGATGGCCTCTCAGGTTGGTATTTTGGCTCAGTGAGTTTGGTCGCTCTACGTCATGGAGCTTCAGGTGCATGGAGGTCGCGCTTGCACCAGGGACGCCAGGTCTGGACCGCATGTTCAACGTGAGGCCTCACGTAGGCGTTCAGCATTTGCTGATAGATTGATGGCTCGAAATTCCCGAAAGCCCTCCGTAAGAGTCCAAAATGTTGACTGGCCCTTTTTGATGTCTTTACAGCCTGTCTCGAGCAGCCAAGTTCGTACTACAAGATAACCCCGAGGTCGTTTTCTTGGGAAGCATGTTGTAACTGCTTGTCCCCACGTCGATATTCATAGATAAGCTGATGGCGTATGCTTACGACTTTGCATTTGGTCACGTTGAACTGGAGCCGGTTATCAGATGACCACACATAAGCCCTGACGAAATCGCTCTGCAATGCCATGTGGTAATCACATGTCCTGATATCAAGCCAAATTTTGAGATCATCTGCAACTAGTAAGAAATTAGACTGCAATACACTGCCAAGGTCGTTAATGAATGTGAGGAATAAACGTGGCCCCAGTAACGCTGCTTGAGACACGCCACACTGGTCGTCAATTGGGTCGGAAATGAAGCTGCGGACTCCCACCTTTAGCTAACGTTGAGTGAGGAAGCTGCCGATCCAAGCGAGTATAGGGTCAACGATACCATAGCTCTGAAACTTGTGAAGGAGAATGCGGTGGTCCAAACGATCGAAAGTTTTCGAGAAGTCCAGGTAGACATTGTCGACTCCCACTCTGGCATCGGCTGACTCTGTCCAGTTTGCTCGGGCTAGCAGAAAGTTTGTAGTGCAGGATCGATTTCAGCGGAATCCGGGTTGCTGTGACAATAGGTAGTTGTTCTCAAGATATCCCATGAGCGCCTCTGTAATTATACGTTCCATTACTTTGGATAAAACTGGGAGGAGAGTGATTGGACTGTAAGTTGAGGGCCCTGAACGATTGCCACTTTTATAACTGGGGGTGACTACTCTATGTCTCCACATTGTGGAAACCTGCAGTTCGTGGAGACAACACTGAAATAAGCTAGCTAATGGTTCGGCAAGGTTCATGGCCGCTGTCTTCAAGACCTTCCGTTTGATACCGTCCAGGCCAGGTGAGCTGTGCACGCGCAACGACGTTAGCGTTTCCATCACATTGACTGCCATGAACGATACATAGTTTAACCCTGGTGGCGATAGGAGCTGTATCAAAAGCGGATGAAATGGTGATTCACAACGGGAAGTATGGATGAAGTGTTGGTGAAGCACGTTGGCTGCGTCTTGTCTGGTTTGCGCAAAACCACGTAACGCACGTAATACCGGGATCCCGCGCTGCACTCTGCGGAACTTATTGACGTGTTTACACAGCGATATGGGATTCGTACTGTATTTCGCTGCTAAGCTCTGTTGATGCTGAAGTTTGCTTTCGCGGAGAAACTTGACGCAGTGGTTTCGCTGAGTTGTGTCAGCACCCCTGGTCAGGTTACTTGGACAGACTTTGTAACCGCGCCAGGCTGAATCCCTTAAGGCTATGCATTTTCTAGTACGGCTCCTCAGGAACGAATTCACTTGCTTCGGGCGAAGAACCTTGCTTTCTGACGCATTTGTCCCTAGCACAGTGAATTGGGTGACAAACACCATCCAAGCGACATCGGGTGGTTTCTCGGCGAGGAAGGACCAGTCGGTTCCTTAAACGAGCTTGGACCAAATGTTGTAATATGTAACGAGATAGGTTTCCTTGCTGTTCTCAATGATGTACTCCGAGTACCAGATGTAACGAAAAAGCAACAGCGCGCGTTCTATACGGCCAAGTGGTACATTTATGGTCATGGAGTGGACCATTAGTTCCTCGTTGGAGAGCACAAGATCCAAAACAGAGGATGTGTCACCGGTTTGGAATCGCGTGGGAGAGGTGACATGGTTGTACAGAGGTACATCGGTGATCATCTCTTGCAAATCAGCCTTGAATTATTCGCAGTGCGATGCTGAAACTTCGATTGTGTGCAGGTTGAAGTCCCTCACCGGAAGGACGTGACTATATGGTAGTGCCAGGACTCGTTTAATCGCAGAAGCTAGGCATTGATTCATTTCCAAGGTGGATATTGGAGGGCGCTAAACTATTGCTAGTGAACACACATCACCAGGTCCTAGGTACATACGACATCAAAGCGAACCGACGACTTTCGTTTCTGGGTCCTCAATGATATTAACGTGCAGGTGGGATAGATAATACAGGAGCCGTCGCCCTCCTCTGCTAGGTCGATCGTTTCGTATGGAAGTCATGTCGGGTAGTGCAATCTTAACATCCGTGATCTCCGGATGCAGCCACCTTTCGGTGACCCCAACTAGGTCCCAAGGCATGGAGACCTGACGAATACGAAGTTCCATTAGCTTGCTGAGAAGACCTTGTGTATTGGTATACAAGCAGGTGAGGGCATCGGTGAGCAGAAGCGTGTTTGTGAATGCTGGTTTCCTTTGAGGGTCTATGCCAACGCTTGCGGGGTCGGCTGACGGTCCTTTTATTAGGACGGATGACACAGGCACCAGGGCCAGTACAGTCTGTTGTATAGAGCTCTCAGCGCCAACAAGAGAGTGATCATTCTGTCCTCCTTCAGCTGCCGGTGTGTTGTGTCAATGTCTCCGTTCTGAGCTACACGGTGACAGTATTGTATTGGTAAGTTGCTTGATCAGTGTTACATTGTCTATATGTGGCCCGGTGCCTATGGTCTTCATAACTATTTCGGATGGCAGCATTTTAGGCTTTTTGTGCCACCTTTTGATCACATGTTCCGCCATCAGTTCGGAGTGCAATGATATTTCCATCACTTGGGGACCAAACCCTTTGTAGTTAGGTGATATCGGTAACATTGTAGAATTAGCGATAACATTTTCGAGTGAGAGCACTTCACGAATAAAACGCCATTCATCCCAGTCACGC